ACCAAAACTTTTGTCCGGTTTAGAGAGAATTCCGGTATACTGAGGGTCCGGTATAGAGGGGTTTCACTGTATAAGGACATTGGAGTTTGCGCAGTGCAGGTGTAATGCTTTGCGACCCCTGCATATATAAGCACCACACCCAGTTCCTTGAATTATTCCGTCGAAAGCTGCCAAAGGAGAGAGTACAAGATTAACCCCACCCACCTCCCTTAGTGACGGTTGACGCCGCATCGCATGCTCATTGCCAGCAGTCGCGGTCACCTTCCATATCCTAATTCCCGTGACTCGGTAAAGAGTATGCAGTGAGGATAAAATACTATACTTGATATAATTGATGCTAAACCTGCAATCACCCTGCCTGATGTGATACACAGTCATTCTTACAATAACTTACAAATTTCTCGCGCACTGATTGGTTATTTTTTATCATCAAATATAAGATATTTAGATATAACGCGCGCGCAGATTGGATGGCTACCGTGTTTATATAAGAGGACAATATTTTAGAAAAGCAAAATAAAACGGCTGCTTATGTCAGTACTGTAATATAAACACTCTGGGAGCTGTAGAGCACTCAAGAAACAAGAGAATATAACACTCGGCTACGCCTCGTCGTGTTCCTAAGCTCGCTTCTCTCGTCCTCTACAGCTCCTAGCGTGTTTATATTACAGTACAGAGACAAGCGCGCGCGTTTCATATAAGAGGACTGACAGATAAAGCTGACGTCAACGAGCGCGCGCTCYTTCCGTTGGTTGTTTTGAACACTAAACATGAGAAGTGTTATCGTTTTTGTAATTGTAATAAACACGCCTCTTGGATCCACACTACTTTGACAATGTGATGGCGCAATATATCGTCAATAAGAGGACAGACACATAAAAAACAGATGTCTATATTTGTTAAATAGAACATAATGGGTTAAACAGACCTTTGTCGTAATGGCGGCTTCTATAAATTAGATTATAAAATAACTGTTATGAATGTCGCGTTCTGATTGGCTTGGAGCGCGTGCTTTATGAGAGCACATTGCACGCGCGCGCACTTTTCGCTGCGTCATTCCTATCTAAAATWACGGTATTTGTATTTCATAAAAGAAATCAAAAACTTGCTTGCTGTGCTGTGTGCCGTTATAAAGCACTTGGGGATTGGCAGAACACTCGAGAAGTGTCCAGAAGCACTCCGCTACGCATCGTGCTTCTCCTAACGCTTCTCTCGTGTTCTGCCAACCCCCGCGTGCTTCATGACTGCACACAGCACGTGCGCGCGTTTTCTATTTCTTCAATAATTATTGCAAACTATTTTGCTAGATATAACTCTTTGGAATGAAAGGCCTTTTTAAATTCGACAATATATAAGGATTTAAAAACATTTTAAAATGTCAAAATT